CAGCAGAAGTCCACTAAAATAAAAAAAAAAATTTAAGGTAGAAATTTCTGGAAAATCAGAACATAATTGTAATTTTTCCATAGAAAGTGAATACAGATATTTACTTAGGATAAGCTTGTTCATTTCATATGAGAAGGAATAAGGCCACTTTTTCCAAACTTGAGCCAAGTGACAGAAGCTTCAGAAGAATCTGTGAAAGACTTGCAACATGCATTCATGAGGTGAGGGTGGTGGAATCCAGGAGACTAACCTGATGCGTGCCTGAAAAAGTTTAAAGCTGAGCTTCTGTTAACTAGCTGGCCTGAAGGTTTATGAGGATCCAGGTGTAATATATATGAGTATAAATGAAATGTTTAAATCCACAGATAATTTATAAAGTTTGCTATACTCTTGAATACGCTCTTCAGGTCATTTGTTGAAAGCCTTCAGCTTTGATTAAAGTTGTTAATATTTGAAGTGTTGACTGATGTAGCCTCCCTGGTGTGGAAAGATGAATTTTTTCTCATTTATTAGTGTCCTGTAGTGAAGACATCACCTTTTACTTAAAATAATTGGTTTGGAAATGGAATTAGAACATTCATCCTCCTCTACAATTTGTGAATTTGCTGATTATTTTTCTTGGTTAATAAGCATAAATTACCATTTGCCTTTATCTAACACACACACACACACACACACACACGAGTTTTACAGAGAACAATGAAGTTATAGCAATGAGGATAGCACAGTTAGGGGTAGGAGCTTATAATTCTGATCACGAAGTAAAAACATCAAAGCAAGTAATGAATCTAAATCTGATATTCATAGAATGATATCACTACATCATTTAAAGCAAATAAAGACACATTATCAAAGAATTAATGCAAAACCATCAAGTTTCCTTTGAAAATGTCTTAGCAAATCTCTAAGTGGTTAGATTATCATAAAATTTCTCTTGAAAGGTAGAAATTAAATCAATAACATTGATAAGAAAAGAAAAGAAATCTCACAGTCCTAATGAATGCAAGAATAATTTCTGCATCTATTAGGCCAGAAGCAAATGATCTCTAATAAAGTTTTATTGTTGGCAAATTATTCTCACTTATTTCCATGGGACGTGTGAAATAACTTACATAGGACACATGTATTTAGCTATTTTATTTGTTTGTACTCAAAGGTTTTTTTTTTTTTTTTAAAGAAACAATCACTGTCATTAACTTTTTAAAGCTATTCTATACTTATGAGCAGGGATTTAAGAATGTACTGACACCTGAATTCAATTTTGTCAATTCAACAGGTACTTTAATCATTTTCAATATTGTAGGCTATAATAAGTCTGGGCTAGAATGATTTCCTTGGTAAACAGTGATAAAGCCCCTGGGAACAAATTAATCATATGTTCAGCACTGAGATTCACAAGTTAATAAATTGGACAGTGTTCAAATTTATTTAGTCTTTTCCAAGCCCCCTTAGCTGATTCACAGTGGTAAGAGAAATTAACATTGTTTCTCATAATATCAATACATTTTTTGTCTAGAAAATGGATAACAGGTTATTTTGCATGGTCCTCAGTTATTTTTAATTTCATCATTAATCCATACGCATTTCATGGAGGAAATATGTCAATCTTCTATCTAAATTTTCTCCCATGTAGGGCTGTTGTGGTTTTCAATAGCAGTTGGAACTGTTGTGAGATCTTACTAATACCATATGCCAGCCCTGAGTAACTTCTGAGTTGAAAAAAAATGAATGTACTTGTGCACTCTTAACTAGTCATTAGTTCTCTTAACAAGCCGTTGGAGGGACAATAATTCAAACTGGAGGTTGAACCAGCTGGCATCTGCACAGGGAACAATTTTCCTGACAATTTCTCCCATGTATTCATATTTTAACCCTAAAATATCATAAAATTGAGAGCATGATGTTATTAATGATAGTGGCAGTCACAGGAGAAAAACAGAACTATTGATAAAACATCATCTTTGGAATATGAAGCACAGATTAGGAATAAAGGGAACAATTACTAACCTATATTTTATGCTTTAATTTGAGGTAAACCTAGACCTGTAAAATTGGCAGTGCTTCATGTCTTAAGACTTTCTCTGTGTTTAATTTCTCTAGGCTAAGAGTGCTAATGGTAAGATTTTTCCACTTTTCGTTCTCATCCCATACTTTGCGTAGCTTTGCACCTAAACCCCTTATTGGTTTCTTCAGATAACCTTGGTTTTCAAAGGCAATAATATCTTCCATGAAATATTTAGGGGAGTTTTTTAAAGTATTATAGTTTCAAATATATATTTATGCTTTTCAAGAACAACTTTGTATAGTTTTTATTACCTCTTTGAAACACTTTAAATTCATTATACTGATGATAGCATATTTAATTTTTCTAATAATAACCATAATACCATGCCACACTAGATGCAATACTGTATAATGATGCTGAAGTTATTTATAATCATACCAGCAGTCTGTCTCCTCAATCTCTGTTCTCTTCCCTCCACCAGCTGATCTCTGTATCAGAGACAGCCTACACTTGAACTTCTCTATTTAACTTTATAAAGGATAATTCTTGGAGAAATTTAAAACTAGTCACTATCTGCATTGATTCAAGATGTGAACTTCCCTAAAAGGCTTCAATCTAAATAAAGATGACTATACCTTCCCTTTAGCCTACAAATCAATAATGATGGGTACTTAGTATTGGATTATTATGTCCAAATAATATATAAGAGATTATATCATATTTGGGTGCCTTTCCTCATTAGTTGTGATCAATTAAAGTCTTGAATTTGCCTTCCCTCATGAGTTGGGATAAACTGATGAATTTTAGGACTAAATTTGAGATCAGTCAGAACTTTGTAAGTCAAGAAGGAGACACATCACCTCTTTCATTTAAAACAAGAGAATCCCAACAACCCCAAAGCATCCCAACTCTAGTGGGTATAAAAATTTGTTTTTCTAATTTCTACGTCTAAAGGTTCAGATAAGTTTTTGTCCACAATAAGTTTATCTACTGAGTTAAATGACTTGCAAAGTCTCCCCATTAAGAGTGTGAACCTGCCCATATGGATGTCACAAGGAATTTAAATTCAATCCATTTACTCTAAGGAAAATGTTCTTGATTGGTAGTAGACACAGTAGTGTACTTCAAGTCAGAAGGTTGTGGCTTCAAGGTCTAAACACAGTAACTATGCTTTCAAATTCTGATACTTCTTCCTAGATCCAAGTTAGATTGTATTGCAACAAATTTAGTTGAAGGGAAAACCCTTGAAATTTGCCTTCTCTTAAATTCTCTCTGCATTCAAGGCGGTTGGGATCAGCCCCCAAGTCCTGGCAGTAAACCTAGGGTCTTTGTAGCATCACTGTCCTGCAGTCACTGCATACAAGTCCTGTGTGCAGAGATCTCTAGGCCACTGGTAACTTTAGGTTTGGGGGAAGTGAGCATACAAGTCCCCATCTTCAACACGAGACCAAGTATTTGGATTTTTGAGAGATATATAGCCTCATGTTGTAAATGATCCTTGCTTCAATAAAAACATGTTATTCTAGAGTCCTACTGGAAGCCATTCTTCTCAGTGGGGATTAACTGCTAATGCATGACTCACAAGCTCCCTCTCATGAATATTTGCTCTTTAGTGGAGAGCAGTTTTATTCAGAGGATATTATAGGGATATTTGGGTTACCACTCAACTTGCAAACCTGTTGTGATCTATGGAAGATACCCCCTTTAATAAATGACTAGTAGCTATGATATCAGTGACAAGTTCTTAGTAGAGAATTGAAATCTTAGCTTGACACAACCAAAAAGCTTAGCTTGACAAAAACCAAAGCATGTAGATTCATTTCCATTGCTACACAGACTAAGAATGAAATTAATCAGAGGCTGTAGTCAGACTGTGAGTTTTCTTTTGATAAAGATAGCTTTTATGAGGGGAAAAGCAGCAAAAGGTCAAGAAAGAGTTGCTTATGTTAAATTTAAAACAAGAGTTTGTCAACTTAATATGATTTTAAAATTCAAGAACAATTTCTATAGGGTATTCTAGAAAAGATATTTTTAAGATAGACTTAAAAGCAAAGAATTATTAGTTAACAATAATAACTATCTTAAATGATAGCTTAATTAATGACATGTAATTTGTAAAAAAACTGTACTTTTAGAGAGAAAGTGGCATAAAGAGTAGAACAGAGCACTTTGCAACCAGCAGATATTCTTTATCTTATCTCTCAGTTTACAAACACCTTTTTACCCAATCATTATGAAACTTTAAAAAATCTCTAAATAATTAAGTGATTTCTCTCAGTCACTTTGGGAAAAAAGAAACATTTATAATGCCAAATATAATTCAGACAAATGATTGTTTATATTTTCATCTTGTTCTTTCATTTATTCTCTAGGAAAGAATAGAAGTAAAAATGAAACAAGAAGGGTATCAAAATCATTTATGCAGATTTATTATCTCTTTGGGCTTGAATATATGGTGACATATATTGTTGGCCCGTTTTTATAGGAAATCTATGTCAAATGTATGAATAAAACAGAGTCAACATTTGATTGAACACCAACTCTAGAAAATAAAAAGATGATATTACAGCAGCTTATGTAGTAAGAGCAAAAGCAGTCTTCTTCAAGCATGAGATCTGTATGTGAAATTAAGGAATAAAGATAAGGAAATATAACATAGAAAATATGAGAATTTAAACCTTTAACAGTGAATATGAGCAAAGATCAGAATGGGAGACTATTTGCTATCATATTCATATCTTAAACTGTCAAAATTTCCTAAAGTGGAAAACCTCAAATGCTTGGAAGGTCTTGTCAGATAATGCAAAACACCCTGAGAGTCCTCTCTTTATGTCTTAGTTCCTTCCCTACATCAAAAATTCAAAACATATGGCCTACCTGTAAATCCTTGTTGGATTCAAACCATTATAAAGAAAGAAAAATAAATGCCTGCCTGCAATAAAATCTTATTTATCAAGGTTTGAATGACTAAGGGGTCAGTAAAAGACCAACTTACGTTAATAAGTTCAACTTCCCAGATTTTTTTCAAAAGGTCCATCGATGTGTAGCCATTAATTAGAAAGGCTTTGGTGTAGTCACCCAGTTCAATGGAATCCAGCCACTCGGCTACAGAGGTGGGATGGTAACCATCATGACCAATGGGTCTCATCTGTAATTAAGAAAATCACATTAGGACTGATTTAAACTGTTTGTCTTATGTTTCAACAACAGAACACATCTTGCCACTTGCAAATTTATCTGTGAAGCATCAGATGTTTCTGGATAAGGAAATAAGGAAAATGAAAATTCTTCATGCACAATTCTAAATCATTAGTAATTTTCACGCTGAATTAGTTTTCAAAACTACACCCAGAAATTTCCAATTTAGCGGCTAAATTAACTCTCTATTTGAGAGAATGAAATATGTCAAACTTCTGTTATAGAAATTATTGTCATTTTGTTGGCTGAAATTAAAAATGGTGTCAGTTGAGCAGTATTCAAGGCTGAAGGCACATGGAACTGCATTTCCAAAATATAGATGATAATTTTCATATGCACAACATCAAAGCATGTGAAAATACTGCATGACTTGAGACATTCAAAAGGAATTCATGCTTATGCAAGACATGTATTGTAGGTAGTGCAAACATGCTGCAGAAACATACTGCTGTGGTAAGCCAGTTAAAAAGAGGCTTTTGAATGTTTTAAGACCATGTGTTCTGCGTTGACTCTACAGTATGTTAGACATGAATAGAGAACTTGCTGGCAGACAGGCTCCTATTTTTTGTCAGCTATATACGGATTTTTTTTTAATACTTTAGGAGAACAAAGAAGTGTGACAGCAACATAATGTTTCTGAGTTTAAATTGGAATATGAAAATAACTTAAGCAAAAGGAACTTCTGGGTTTAAAATTTTGTATGGATTATTCTAGTCCTTTAGCCTTTATTTGAAATTTTAGTTGAATTTGTGGTTCCTGGTTTTTGAAGTGACTCACTGCTAAAACTCTTTGCATGCCATTCTGTTGGTTTTGGATTTTTAAGGATAGCTGCCAGCTTATTAACCTGATGTCAGCCTTCAGTGAAATACCTGGTGGGAACAGTGAAAATGGGCAAAATACGTCATAGACTTTTCTCTTCCTCCAAATTTAAGGAGATAAGTATTAATGGAAATCTATGTGATTCTGATTTGTGAGCAGAGAAAAGATTAGTCTGATGTCAGCGATTCAGATTTCAATCTTAAGCATGGTGAGCTTTCTGTCACTATGCAGAATTTTCATTTTTGAGATTCTTCTTACTTTTTCATTTTCAAGTTACTTTTTCTCCTTTCCTCTTTTCTGTTGTTCCACTCCCCAATCTAATTTCCGTTTCAAGGTTTAAATGCTCTCTATTTTAAAGTCACAGTGCAATTCATTATTTGCCCTAGAGTTCAAACTGCATAGACTTTTGTATTTCACTTTTACATTGGCACACCAGACCTATTTCAGCTATTCATTAAATATTTGTGTGAGGCTTACTCTATATTCACTACACAGTATCTACAAATGTAAATGGCAACTCAGGGTTTGAAAAATGAAGTTTAGTGACGTTCACAAAAACTGAAAGTTATGCATGTGTATACACTTGGAGTCCAGGACTCAAAATGGGAGTTAAAATACATTAAGTACCTTCATGTTAATTAGAAACACTGGGGCCATGTACATTCTCCAGGACTTGTTAAGAAGTGATGAACTAGCTCTACTAACTTAAATAGTCACCCAAGCACCAGGAACTGCTCTGACTCTTAAAATTGACATAAGGAAATAAGTGGAAGTAGGAAAAGAAGAAAGATGGAAAGGAACAGTGGAGTTGAACTGAGAGCCTGGCAGGAAAGTTTTGCTATTAGCTCACCCAAGAAGCTGACCACCAGTAGTGGATACTGGGGACAAGCTTAGAGAGTCTTGGGAACCCCTTAGGAAGAGTCAGTTGTTCCTTCCAGAAAACTGTAAAATGGGATCCCCATGGGCTTTCACCCAAGAGATCAGTGGTTGCCTGTTAAAAAGATATGGATGGTCAGTGTTAGCTGGGAGTGGGCATGTGGATGTGTGCAGGGCAGAATTCACCCATCCACTCATTCAATGAATAAATTTAATCAGTGCCTGTTCTGATGAATGTTGTGGAAATAGTAGGGAACAAAACACATTAGACAATTTCAAAGTGAACCTAATTAAGTATAAAAAAGTTTTCCTTTTCCCCAACCCATCCTTCTTGTTCCACTAGGGAATTTAGAATCAGAAAAAATAAGCCGGTCCCTTGAGAGAAGGCTAAACTTGGGAGTGGGGAGCAAAGGAAATAAAACTAGAGGTTTAAAATAGATTAGCACTGCGTTTTTCAATATTTTACGTGACAAGAAAGTCATTGGATATGACTGAGATCATATAAAGAAACAGCAAAAAGAAAGTCAAATGAGCTTGGTCAAAAGCAGTGATTGCAAAAACAAACAAACAAACAAACACCCCTGCATCAGTGTCTCACTGGACGCAGACTGTGCAGTAATCTGGTTACTCATAAAGGCAAGACCAACTTCAAAGAGTGAGAGGGAGGGAAATGCCTGCTGGAGGATGAGAGAAGGAGCAGGGTAGAGTGCAAAGGTGAAGAGGCCCTGGGAGTGGGCATGTGGATGTGTGCAGGGCAATATTCACCCATCCACTCATTCAATGAATATTTAATCAGTGCCTGTTCTGATGAATGTTGTGGAAATAGTAGGGAACAAAACAGTCATAGTCTCCCTCATGGAAATTATAAGTCTTAATTAAAAATATGTGAACAGATGACCAATAAATTATGAAGGCTCTGCATACCTGAAGAGAGGAAACTATTAGAGCCAAATGAAGTTGCAAAATTAACTTGACACATATTTAATGATATGCAGAATGGTAACTGTGCTGCGCAATAATTTCTTCCAAAGCAATTCTCCCATCTGTTCCTTTATTTCAGTTCTTACCATCACTACCCTGTTTAGGTTCTCCTTAGCACTTGCAAAAGCTAGTGCAATAACCTTCGACTTGGCCTCCCATCTTTGCTCAGCTTCTATCTTGCTACTACATTAATTTTCCTAAAAGGCACGTAAGTCTGCAAAAAACCTGTAGTGGCTCCTTCTTAAGGAGAGTCCAAGTGTCTTATTCTAGCATTCAAGGCCAACTGGGATTTACATGATCTGTCACAACTCTGCTGTAAGTACCCTAATAAATGTGAATAGACACATGGGTATTTCTAAACATACATTAAATTGCTAGCCATTCTCTGAACATACACCACACAAAGCAAAACCATATCTTTGCTAATATAATTTTCCATGTTTGTAATGCTTTTGCCCTTATTTCTGGAGGTATTTTCAAGAACTGACTTCTCTTGAGAACCAAGATACATTTTTCTAATTATTTTGTATCCTGGCTAATCCTAAACTAAGAAATTCTTTATTGTGTGAGTTTGGTTGGTGGGCATAATCCACTTCAAGTCTAGTGCATGTCCATATTTTGCTCATGCCCTTTCCTCTTCCAGAAACACTGTTTCCACCTCTTCTCCCATCAAAATTCATCATTAGGAGGTCTTGCTTAAACATTGCTTCCTCTGTGAAGCTTTCTGTAAGGTTACCCTTATTACCAAGTAAAAATTAATCAAGTATTCTGCTAGATTTCTGTAGAAATTTACATATGATTCTATTATAGCATATTTGAGTTTGATTTCAATACTACTTAGAGAGTAGTATTTTCTTCATTGGACTGTCTATCCTTTGATGACAAAACAAGGTGTTACCCATTTTTTAGTCCCTAAAGTGTCCAAGAGAGCATCTCACACTTGACAGGCATTTGCTAAGTACCTGTTATTTAATGAACATATGGAAAGAAAATGACATATTCACTTCTGTGGCTTGGTATCCATTTAGGGGGAAACATATTTTGTTCTCCATGTCATCAAAATTAAGGTTATTTTATGGTCTATAATAACATTTGTAACTATTTAAAACCTCCATATATCAGGAGCCAATTCCAGGTGGTACACGTTATTACAAAATGTAGTGAACTTTTTCCCTAGCCCAGCAGTTTGATTCTATTGGCTATGTGACTTGGGGCCCATTACTTCACCCTCTCCAAGCACTGTCATTTATAAAGTGAAGGTGTTGGACCCATGATCTCAAAGCTTCTTTTTACAGTATACCCTAAACTTTATAATTCTATGGTATAAGAATTAATTTTGAATTAACATCTGATTAATTTGCCTAGTAAGGAAAAAAATATGCCCAATGACAAAAAAAAAAAAAAAAGAAAAATAGGACACATAGACTAAAGGTCAGATGGTGCTCAGATTTTTCTTTTTTTTTGACATAATAATCTAATTTTATTTTTTGCCATAATGAATTTCTAGTTGACATAGCCTCATGAATTTGGGTTACACAGTCTACTTCAAAGGCATTGTCTCTTTCTAGAGAGAAAGAGAAAGGGACACCCGCCTAGCCAGCCAGATCAGCCGAATCAACCCTGGCGATCAATGGGGTGACAGATGTCGCAGCCAGATCGCCCTCACATCCTCAGATTTTTCTTATGACTTTAGCAGTACCCACAGGTAGTACTGCAATTGCTTTCTCAAATTAGCAATGATTAAACTTTTTTTCTCACATAAACATCTGGCAAGAAAGAGTTAGGAAAAGATAGCTTCAGGGCTGCCAGGCCAGAAATACGCATGTGCGGGAGATAGGCACAGTTTGTAATCTCAGAGGCAGAATGATGGGCAGATAGCAGGCATATGCAACAGAGGTTCACAAGGCCATCTGATTTAGCTTGCTGAATTCCAAAGTCTAGGGAAACTTAAGCTGGGACAGAAATTGGAGATAATAATGAAGCTTTAGGCTTGGGAAAGTTCAGATATATTGATATATTTTACTGAACAACCTGCGTGTTTCTTTGTTCTGCCTGAATGCACACGAGTGTTCTCCAGGGGTCTTAGTGCATCCTGGAGAGAGAGAGAGAGAGAGAGAGAGGCGCCTAGGCTCTGAGCTGCTTGCTCCACTTCAACCAAGTAGCTCCTATCTTAAATGTTTTAAACAGGCAAGAAGAGGAAGAAGGATTTCTGTGCTTTAAAAAGAAATGTTTAAAAACCACTGATCTAGAAGATATTTATAAGACTAGAGATAA